CCTGTACTCGGGTTCCTGCACCTTTTCGTTGCGTTGCCGGAGGAGGTCAGGGTGGAGCCTAGTTTTCGGGATGAGACATCTGTCTTGGCTCGTGCTCCTCCCCCTCCTCCTCCTCCTCCTCCTCCTCCTCCTCCTCCGCCTCCTCCCCTTTTCTCCTCCCCTTTCTCCTCCCCTCCTCCTCCTCCTCCTCCTCCTTCTCCTCCATCCTCCCTCCCCTTTCTCCCCCTCCTCCTCCCCTCCTCCTCCTCCTCCTCTCCTCCTCTCCTCGTCCTTCTCCTCCTTCTCCCCTCCTCCTCCCTCCTCCTCCTCCTCCTCCTCCTCTCCCCTTTCTCCTTCCGCCTCCTCCTCCTCCTCCTCACTCCTTCCTCCTCCAGCCTCCTCCTCCTCCTCCCCTCCCTCCATCTCCTCCTCTCCTCCTCGCTCCTCCTCCTTTCTCCTTCTCTCCTCCTCCCCCTCCTCCTCCTTCTCCCTCACTCCTCCTCCTCCCCCCTCTAGCCCTCCTTCTCCTCCTCCTCTCCTCCTCCTCCTCCTCCTCCTCCTCCTCCTCCTCCCCTCCTCCTTCTCCATCCTCCTCCTCCTCCTCCTCCTCCTCCTCCTCCTCCTCCTCCTCCTCCCTCCTCCTCCTCCTCCCCCCTCCTCCTCCTCCTCCTCCTTCTCCTTCCTCCTCCTCCCCCTCCTCTCCTTCTCCTCCTTCTCCTCTCTTCCTCCTTCCCCCTCCTCCTCTCCTTCTCCTCCTCCTCCTCCTCCTCCTCCTCTCCTCCTCCTACTCCTCCTCGCCTCCTCCTCCTCCTCTCCTCCTCCTCCTCCTCCTTACTCCTCCTCCTCCTCCTCCTCCTCCTCCTCCCTCCTCCCCCTCCTCCTTCCTCCTCCCCCTTCCCCCTCCTCCTCCTCCTCCTTTTTTGGGACGTTGGCCACGGCTAAAAGTTCGCGGCTGTTGTTTTTCTTTTTTCCTCCTCCCCCTCCTCCTCCCCTCCCCCTCCCCTCCTGCCTCCTCCTCCTCCTCCTTCCTTCTCCTTCCCCTCCTCCTCCTCCCCTCCTCCTCCTCCTCCTCCTCCTCCTCCTCCTCCTTCCTCCTTTTTGGGGACCTTGGCCACGCATAAGGGTCGAGGCGGTTGCTTTCTTCTTCCTCCTCCTCCTCCTCCTCCTCCTCCTCCTCCTCCTCCTCATCTTCCTTGTCCTCATCCAGACGGGGTCCGCCCTTGGAGGCCTGGGGACTACGTCCTGGTGCGCGCCTGTGGCTGGCATCCAAGACCCCCCCGCGTCGAGGAAAAGCATGGCCCTCGCCGGGCTTTGGGGCCGTCAAAGACCGGCTCGAGGGAGGACAGTCCGCCACCCGGGAAGGGGTCCAGACCTCTGGGCTTCCACGTCGTACACAACGAGCAGGCGAAGAACTCAGCCCTGTCTGAACGGAGTGTCTTCGAAGCGGGAAGAGGTGCGTCGATATGAGCTATGGAAGCGGGGGCGCCATGCGAGCACGCCCGCCAAGGCCACAGATGGAGCCCCCTAGCGAGCACAAAACATGTGAGGGGTGTTCCAAAATGGGCGCGAGGACGCTACGCGATCACTTTCTTCACCAACGCAAGAGGAGCCCAGTGGCAAGGAAGGGAGGGACCGGGGGCGCGGAGGAAGCGGGGGAGAGGGGAGGAAAAGGGGGGGGACGCGCGCGCGACGCGCGCGCGCGCGCGCCCAGCCGCCCGCCGGGGCCCGCGCAGCCCGCGGCAGGCGGGGCGCGGCGGCGCTATGGGGCCATAGGAGGTGGAACTCCTTATGGGGCCACGAAGCGCGTCAGGGGTGCGTCGAAATGGGCGTGGGGACGCCAGGCGGGCATTACCATCTTGGCAATCGGTGGGGACGAAGCTTGTGAGGGCGTGTCGTAATGGGGTGCGGGACGCCATGCGAGCACGCCCACTGATACCACAGGTGGAGCACCTCGTAGGGCACGAAACGTATGAGGGGTGTGCCGAAGTGGGCGCGGGACGCCGACGAAACAGGCGCGGGGAAGCCATGCGAACACGCCCACTGAGGTCAGAAGTGGAACTCCCGGTGGGCCACGAAGCGTGTGAGGGTGTGCCGAAGGTGGCGCGGGGACGCCATGCGAGCACGCCCATCGGGGCCATAGGTGGAGCTCCCGGTGGGCCACGATACATGTGAGGGGTGTGCTGACATGGGCGCGGGGACGCCATGGGAGCGCGCCCACTTTGTCCACAGGTGGAGCTCCCTCTGGAGGCAGCAGCCACGTGAGAGGCGTGCCGAACAGAGTGCAGCAAAAGCAGCAGGAGTGGCAGCTGGGAGGCGAGAGGATGAGGAAGAGAAGGGAGGAGAAGAGGGAGGGAGGAGAGAGGAGGATGGCGAGGAGGGAAGAGGGGGAAGGGAGGACGGAGGAGGGGCAAGGGAGAGGAGGGGGAAGAAGAGAGCGAGGGAGAGTGGAGAGGTGGAGGGGAGGAGAGGAGGCAGGAGGGAGGATGGCTGGGGGAGGAGGGGGGGAGGCTGAGTGAGGAGGTGGGGCGCGGCGCTGCGCAGTCGGACCGAGGACCCAGCGCACCGGTCCGTCGCAGCGCGGCAGGGGCAGTCCGCACGCGCGCTCCGGCGGGCCAGGCGATGGCAGGCACTGGCTTTCAAGTCGGGCGTGTCCCCCTGCAGGGGGAATGCTCGAAAATGGGAAAGAAAATCTGGGGACGATGTTCCTATTATTTTTGATTCTTTTAGTTTGTTTTTTCCTTCTTAGATCCGCCTGTAGGAGGACATGCCCGACCTAAAATTGGCTGTCCGTCGGCAAAGAGGGGTAGGCACAGGCGAGCCCGGACCCAACAGCACGGGAGGGCTGGGGAACAAGGTGGCGTCGGGGGCTGGGATCGGCCGTTGCCCCTGCGGCGCCTCGCGGGTGGCACGGTCGCCCTGTGGGCACGCGTGGGCCCTTCCGAGGGCCTGGCGCCATGGAGAAGGGGTCCGAAGGGAACCGGGTCCTGGCCCCTCGGCTTTCGTGAGGGTCGGCCCTCTCTCCAGAGTCGTTTTTTTTGGCTGTTCTGGGGCCCGTGGGCGGCCGCAGGGGAGCCCGACAGCGTGGAACATAATCCAGGACCGCTCTCCCCTCCGAAGCCCGTTTTCGTCGTGCTTATGGTGGTACGTCGCCCTGGTGGGACGTCTGGGGCCCTCCCAAGGGGATCGGTGATACAGTCGGGGCGCTGAAGACGGAACCCTTTTCGTTGGGGAGGGGCTCGGTGTTCCTTTAATGTTTCACAGTTTGCATAAGGTCGTGCTTAGATTTCCGATGGGAAATCGAAGTTTAACTTTTGGAGAAAAGGAGCCTCGTTCCTTTTTAGGGCTCCTTAGGTCAATGCCCCGGGGATGTGCGTGGAGGCTGCCCGAACTTCGCTGGAATAGATGAGGTCGGGGGAACGCCGCGCATCGCCGATGCACGGGCGATGCAGAGCGATCTGCAGAGCGCTCTCACAGCGGTCTGGTGCGCTGTGGAACCGCTGCGGCGCCTGATACTTCCTTCAAGCCCGCCAGCTTTCAGAGATGGCCGATTTGGGTTGGTTTGATGTTCTCTTTGTCTTGGCTTTGTCTTAAGGCGTGCGAGGAGAGGAGGCGGAGGGAGGGATGTGTGTCCATTTCGGCACCTCGTGCGTGCTCCACGCCCCACCATTTCGCCTCTGCCCCTGCAAAGAAGCCCGACGACAACCCTTAGGACGTCTGCAGGTCAATCGCGTCAGGCTGGCCTTGCAGGCTCACGTCTATCACGAGATTGTCCTCCGTCTCGCAGCAGTGGCTGACAGCTCGCGTGAGGTTTTGGCGCGAGGGGGGGGGGATTCTTCCATGCAGGCGGGGGGGGGGCTCCTGAGAAGGCAGCTGGCTTCTCGAAAAACTCTCCCAGCTTGTAAGAAGACTCTTTTGTTTTTAACAAAACAAAAGAATCAGCGCCCGATCTTTTCCCAGCCTCCCGCCCCGCAAAGCATGCCGGAACGCTGTCCGCTCGCAGAACATGGGCGAGTCGCCGAGGCTGCCGCCGCGAGGCGCGAAGCACACGTTCCAAGGGCGCCCTCGAGGGCGCGAAGTCTTTCGCGCGTCGCGCTTCGCGGTTCGGCTCCGATTCCTCATCATCCTCCTCTTCTCCCCTGGGAGGCGGCGCGAGAGCGCGAGGTTATTCGCACTTCGCGCTTCGCGCAGCGCGAAGCGCGAAGTTGGGAGCCCTTGAAGTTCCTGATCGTAAGTCGGGCCACACGGCCAGCATCTGGACGCGTTCGGGCTGAGCGCGGCAGTGGCACTCGCGTTTCTTTGTGTCTTGTCTGTTGCCTCCCTGGCGGCGCCTCATCTGGCGCGCCCCCCGGCCCCGTCCCTGGCGCGCTCGTGCTCTGCGCGCCAGGGGTGGGGGGTCAAGCGCCGACCCATAAAATCATCGCGGGCATCCGACATGTTGTCTGAATGAGGTCCCCCAACTCCCTGGGTATCCGTTTTACGTCTTCGACGAATGACGACTGCATATCGCGGCCGCTGGGCAGGCCCCAAGTGGCTTGGTGCTCTCTGGCGATGCCGCCTTGCGTTTTTGGGAGGGGGACCGCTCGAATCAACTTAATGTTGAGAGTGTGTTTGCTGTTGTTCGATCTGGGAGAGGACGGGGCCCCCCCTTTCCTTAGGGCTGGGTTTTCTTTTTCACGGTCCTGGAGCCCGGCGAGGCCCCCTAGAGGCCGCAAATGGCCCAAAGCCGCCTTCCTCCTCCTCCTCCTCCTCCTCCTCCTCCTCCTCCTCCTCCTCCTCCTTGTCCTCCTCCTCCTCGATCCCCCCTCCTCTTCCTCCTCCTCTTCCTCCTCCTCCTCGATCCTCCTCCTCATCCTCCTCCTTGATCCTCCTCCTCCTCCTCCTCCTCCTCTTCCTCCTCATCCTCCACCTCGATTCTCCTTCTCCTTGATCTTCCTCCTCCTCCCCCTCCTCCTGGGAAGAGCAGGGCAAGAGCAGCAGAGGAGGCCATGGCGCGCGCGCCGGCGGCCGGTGCTGCCGCGCAGCGCCGCCGCCGGAGGAGTCCTTTCGCCGCTGCACCGACAAGCTGCTCTTCCTGTCGGAGCGGCAGTTCGCGGACGAGGTTCCAGAGGAGGCTCGCTCTCTCGCTCTCTGGCTGAGTCTCTCGCGGGCGTGGCGTGAGATGGGGAGGGCGATCCAGGGGTGGGGTGGGTGGGTGGGGGGGAGAATTGCACCTCCGCGTGCCCGAGAATAGGGTTCCTAAAGATGCCCACTGGAGCCCAAGCGGGGCACGAAGGGTGCACGTTGCCCCCCCCCCCCCCACCCCACACACACACACACACACCTCCTTGCACCCCCTGTGTTCTCGCCCCCCGAGTGAGCACCGCCCAGCTCTCCTTCCGCCCCCAGACCCCCTCGCGCTGTGCTCAAAGCGCGGCGGGAGGTTTTTTGGCAGGGCAGTTCTCGGCCTCCAGGGGCCCTCGCCTGGCCCGGGACCGTCCAAGATTGACTCGGGGATGGAAAGTCGGTCCCCGGGAAGGGGGCCAGACCTCCAGGGGCCCACGTCATAAACAAATCATGACGTCGGGGGTTTGGGTCTGTCTCTATCTCCCCTGCCTCCCCTGCCCAGCATCATCGCAAGCGCCGTCGCCGCGCCTTCGTGGATGGGATGTGCGTCTGAGGGGCTCGCCTTGCTCCTCCTCTTCCTTCCGCAGTTTGCCTCTTGGGGCCACCAGCCAGCCTCCTGGCTTCATTTTCTTCGTGGGCATCAACCGCGTCTGCAGTGGCCTGCGCTGCAATCTCTCAACAGCTGTCTCCATTACCCCTTTGCCCTTCTTCGCCACAGGGGAACAAGGGGTCCTCGTGGAAACGGGCCCTGCGTTGTTGTTCGCCGCTCTCTTGGGCTCCCGGGACCGTCGACAGAAGCGATCCAGGGCCGAGAGCTTCGGGGGCGGCAAAGAGGGGGGTGATGACTAGGGGGGGGTGGATATCATGTCGTGGGCCATGATATCTGCCCAGATTTCATGGCGCCTCTTCTTATTTCATTACGTCCCTGACCCCCCCTTTAAAGCCACGCACATGCCGCCGGCCATGATTCGCACCCCCCCTTCTTGGACGCCCCCCTCTTGGCCGCCCCCGAGAGATGCCGCGCTCCTCGCCGACCCTTGACGTCGCCCCGGACCCTCGCCTTGGCCGCACGCGCCTCCTCGCGAGGAGGGGGCGGACAGTTGAATTCCCGCGCAGGTCTCTCCGCCGCGGCGGCGGGCTCTCGTCGCGCGGGCGGCGGCCCGACGCGGGGCGTGAGTTGTTTTTTCAATGTATGTGTTGCTTTCTTTGAATATATCTGTATATATATATATATATATATATATATATATAGAGAGAGGTGTTGCTTGTTTTCTGTTTTTACGTATGTTTTTTGTGCAAAAACTATTTTGGGGGTTGTTTTCCTTACGCCTGCTTGGTCCCCTCTTCAGAGGACCCGTTCCCCTCGGGGCCCGCTGTGTCCCTCATGATGTTCGTGTCGGTCTCCGTCTTCCCCCAGCACGGCTTGTCTCCCGCACTGTACGGCGCACGCGGGGTGCGCGCGCCCTTGACCGATTTCTTGCCGTCGTGCGAAGCGTACAGCGGAGACCCATGCCAAGAAACACCCTTCTTGCCTCCAGGGTGCCCTGAATTTCTTGGGTTTCGATGGTGCTGCTGTGGCAGGCGTGACTTCCCCACACAACAACTCAATGGACGACCTGGGGTCTCAGGGTTGGGTTCCAGTGGACGGCCTCCAGTGTACAGGAAAGTCCGAGGAGGAAAAGGAACCGAACCCATGCCGCTACATTTCTGCCTCGCTCTTGCCTTTGTGGGCCTCCCGGGATGCCCTCGTCTCCACCGCTGGATGCGCCTCGAAATCCCGGTCATGACGCAATCCGGGAGAGGTCCGGGGAGCAGCAGTGTGAGTACTTTTTGGTTTCCCCGGAAAAAGCATACTGCTGACACGTTGGCAGAATTCCATGCCTCTTCCGCTGCACTCCCCGCCCGCTCCTTGTTCCGTGCGCTCCCTCCCCCTCTATGGATGGACAAGTTGGAGGGGGGAAGGAGGTGGAGGATGAGGATGAGGAGAGGGAAGAGGGGGGAGGATGACCTCCTCCCCCTCCTACTTATGGTGGTGGTGGTGGTGGTGGTGGAGGAAGACAAACCCACCATGTATCTCATGTTTTGTGTCTCCCTCTCTCTCTATCTCTATCTCCTCAGGCCCTGCCTTTTCGGCGCCCTCTTCCTCCTCCCTCGCATCCTCTGTCATCTCCTCCTCTGCACCCCTCCCTCTCCTCTCTCTCCTCCCTCCCTCGCCCCCCCGTCTCTCCTCGCTCCCCCCCCTCCCTCCCTCCCCTCCCTCCCTCCGTCACCCTCCCTCCCCCCCTCCCTCCTTCCCTCCCTCCCCTCCTCTCCCTCCCTAGCCCTCCCCTCTCCTCCCCTCCTCCCACATCAGGGCCCGCTCCCTCCCTCCCTCCCTCCCTCCCTCCCTCCCCTCCCCTCTGTCATCTCCTCCTCTGGACCCCTCTCATCTCCCTCTTGTTCCTCCATGTCTCCCCTCCGGTCGCGGAGAGAGCCATCGCGGGTGTGTGCTGTGCCGCACGGGACGCTGGCTGCGTATCGGGGCGGCGTGCCCTCGAAGCTGTTCTCTGTGGCTGGTGGCTCCACGAGAGGTTCCGAAAGGCTCCTCCTCCCTCCTCGCCCTTCCTCCCTCCTCCTTCCTCCTCGCCGTTCCTCCTCCACGAGAGGTTCCGAACGGCTCCCCCTCCTCCCCCCTCCTCCTTCCTCCTCGCCCTTCCTCCCTATTCCGCACTACGTTAGGCCACACCTCGGAGTGCCATGCCACGCTCTGCCGTATTCTCCTACGCCATGCTATGCCATGCTGTTCACCGCGTGGCCTCAGGGGATCGCTGTCCTATCGTGAAGACCTTGCGGCCGACGCCGCCGACCCAGGAGGAGGAGGAGGAGGAGGAGGAGGAGGAGGAGGAGGAGGAGGAGGAGGAGGAGGAGGAGGAGGAGGAGCAGGAGCAGGAGCAGGAGGAGGAGGACGGCCGCGGCAGGGGCTGGGGCTGGGGCCAGGGCCGCGGGCCCTCGCAGGGCAAGGGCCGGGCCAGGGGGTCGGTGCCAGGCCCGGGGCCGAGGCCTGCGGGCCAGGACAATCGGGGCCGGGGCCAGGGGGCTGGCGGCCCAGGGCCAGGGGCCGAGGCGGGGGGAGGGGGGGCCGACACGGAGGCCATGCCCGCGGACGGCCCCTGGGGGGGGGGGGGGTCGTGCCCACCGGGCCCCGCCCGGGACCCGCCCCCAGGACTCCCCCCCCGTATCATGGCGGGGAATGGACCAAGGGGAGGGGCTTGCCTTCGACGTAATGGCGACATTGTGCGATCCCCCTCATCACGACGACGGCGATTCGAAGGAGGCTGGCGTACTTCAGTTTGGGTTCGGCTGATTACGCGTCGAGGGGCCTCTCACACACGCCGAACGGGTCGGCGGATTCGACACCCGACAGCGCATAGAGAAGGGCTCTACGCAATGGCGAGGGATGAGCAGGAGGACCAGGATGTTATGAGGCTACCGATTGTCCCTCCGCCCCGCTGCTCCCTGCCCTGGAATGTGCGCTCTGATCCTGCCGGGTCGCGAGTCCAGCTGCGATTGCCACTCGGCCCGACGGCAGGCCACGGTCGCCGAATTGGAGGGCACACGCCGTGAATCCTGTTAGTTGTGTCTGTTCACTCGTGTGCCCCAGGGCCCCTTCCGTTCGGTGAAGACGCCGGGATCAGGACCACCTCTGTGGCAGGAGGGGCCCTGGTCTCCGGACCGCGCCTGCGACCCGGGCCGGGGAGCCCACTCGCGGCCGAGGCCTGGAAGTGGCCAGGAGAGCGCCTTCGTCCCCCGTGTGGCGTTCCTGACGGTACAGCCGGGGCCCTGCAGAAGGAACCCTTTTCGTTGGGGAGGGGCTCGGTGTTCCTTGACGGTTCTGCAGTTTGCCTTCTGTTTTCCTGAGGTTTTCCACGGGAAGTCGAAGTTCCACTTGTGGGAGAAAGGGGCCCCGTTCCTTATTTGGGGTTCCTTAGGTCAACGCCCCGACTGTAGCGCGACGACCGTGGGGTCGAACCGCTCACTGCGCTCCGAGGCCTGCAGCGCCTCGGGAGCCCAGCGAGCCACGGGTCCGCTGCGGCTGCGGGCCGCGGAAAACTTGCGAGCGACTGCCTATCCCTCGCCCTGCGCTCGAGGCGGGCATCTACGAGATGGGGCGGGTGCTGGAGGTCCTCAAGGTGTCGCAGGGCGCTCATCAAACGACGCGAAGATCGGGACAAAATCGGATCGGGATAACTCGAAATCTCTGAGAATCGGCGGGTTGGAGGATGTATTGGGCGCCGCGGCCGCTCCAGAGCGTTCCGGAACGCTCTGAGAGCGCTCCGGAACGCTCTGGAGCGATTTATCGTGATCCTAGCCCTGTTTTGCTCACCTGACGACAGTGAAAACGCATAGTAAGGTTGAGTCGGGCCGGTCCCTCTACAGGGGGAATATTCAAAAATAGTCAAAATATAGTCCTGGGGATTATTTTTGGAGCATTTTTTGACCATTTGGAAGCATGTTTTGAGTACATGTTCAATTTTTCGTCGAAAATCCCCCTGTAGGGGACACGCCCGACTTAATAGGAAGGATGAGCAACCTTCCCAAGGGTTCCCTTCCGTCCGTGCCCCTTCGGCCCATCCTGAGCGGCTTTCGCTGGCCAGCCTCCTTCGACGAACGTTCACATGGGCCTCCGAGGCCCTCGCGTCCTTATCGCGCATCCTTATGATGCGGGTTGACTGTGCCTCACCAGTCCTGGCCGCGCCCATCCTGGGCCCAGGATCGGGCCAGACGCCTTGCTGGCTTGGCAGAGGGAGGCGCCGAGCCTGCAGAGATCTCGTGTGTCTGCGTGTCAAAAGAGAAGATCTGGGAAAGAGCGTGTTCTACCGCTGCTGGCGGAAAACCGGGGGGGGTTACTACCGGTTCGAACCCCTCCCCCCCCCCCCCCCTCCGGAAAACCGGGGGGGGTCACTACCGGTTCGAACCCCTCCCCCCCCCCCCCAGCTCATCATGAAAAGGGGGGGGGTCACTACCGGTTCGAACCCGCCCCCCCCCCCTCGAAAACCGAGTGGGGGTGCGGACAGTGGTGGGGACGGTGTTGGTGGGGACAGTGGTGAGGGGACAGCGGGACAGTGGTGGGGACAGTGGGGGGACAGTGGACAGTGGTGGGGACGGTAGTGGTGGGGACAGTGGTGGGGACAATGGTGGGAACAGGGGGGACAGTGGACAGTGGTGGGAACGGTGGTGGTGGGGACAGTGCTGTGGGGACAGTGGGAATGAGGTGGAAACACTGGGACAGTGGAGGGTACAATTGTGGTGGGGACACTGGTAAAGGCGGTGGCGAGGACGGCGGTGGGACAATGGGACAGAGGTACAGTGGGGACAGTGGTGGGGACAGTGGGGACAGTGGTGGAAACAGTGGGACAGCTCAGTGGGACAGCGGAGGAGTCAGTAGGACAGTGGGGACAATAGGGATAGGCAGTGGTTGGGTCCGTGGAGACAGTGGGGAGAATGGAACCGTGGTGGGAACAGTTGTGGGAACAGCGGGGACAGTGCGACAGTGGTGGGGGCATTGGTGGGGACAATAGGGACGGT